AACCTCATTACAGCATTTGCAGTGGAAATAACACCAGGTAGCCGCTTTTAAGCAAGTTGTTTAAAATATATTCATAGTTTATAATGTATTTAAAGATTAGCCAATTTCGTACAAACTTCAGGACAGGGCGTCCTAGAGTTAAAACCTCAAAATTCAAACTTCATGACATCGTGTCCTAAAGTTCAAAAATTGTGTCCTGAAGTTCGAATCGTATGTCCTGAATTTTAAATTAGTAGTTTAGAAATTCAGGACACTTACTCTTGAATTTTCAAATCAGATTACTTAGTCCTGAAGTTTGAGTGAATTGGCTAATCTTTAAATACATTGTCAATTGTAAATATATTTTAAATAGCAGGCTTAAAAATGGCTATTGATGCATTTCGCCCGCATTTGCATTGGTAATAATAATCCAAAATTAGGGCAGTAAGTGCAAGTTTCCTCCCCAAATAGTTACTACACAGATGGTCACTTAAATTTTGCTTTATCGCACTAAAGTTACTAAATTATTTTTTACAATAAAAAAGGTATTCAACTTTATTAAATTAAAGTATCACGAAAGTCATAAAAACTTTCTTTGAAACAAAAAAAGTCACTCAATTGCACCTAAATATCATAAAAAATATCTCGATTGTTTTCATCCATATGGTTTTATGCGATACTTAAGTAATTAAAATTGAGAGATTCCTTTTGGTTACAGAATATAGTTTAGTGCCTTTTGTGATATTTGGATAAAATTGATTGACTTTCTCGTTGCAAAAGATAATCTATTAACTTTAATGTAAGAAATTGAAATTTAAGTAACCATTCATAATCTTGTTTACATACAATTATATTTTGCTGGCTTATATTTACATTCATTAATTTAAAAGGAAAAATAATATTATATAGCCGCTGTAAAAATAGTAGTCGAAAAACTGTATAAAATTCTATTTTTTTTTTCGTGTATATATATATATATATATATATATATATATATATATATATATATATATACATCATTGGTTGCTGAGTTGTTTCCTCGAAAATCGTGTTTGTTTAATCTCGGCAATTTAAATTTACTCCTTGTTACATAAAGATGAAAATTGCTTTTGAATATATATACCGTTGGTTGCTGAGTTGTTTTCTCGAAAATCGTGTTTGTTTAATCTCGGCAATTTAAATTTACTCTTTATTACATAAAGGTGAAAATTGCTTTTAAAGTGCAACTGCATGAATAGACAAGAGTTTAAATTAATTATTGTCGAGAATTTCTTTTATGCTTTTGCAAAAATAGTAATATTCAATACTAATGGAGAAAGTTATTAAATCTATCATTTATTTCTTACACATTTGGCACTTAATTATGTCTTATTTTAAAATCTTATAGCGTTTCATGTGTTTTAATTTTGAACAATATATTCTTCTCAATTTTTGTAGTATTTCACTTGGAGATTTTTTTTTTTGGTTTAAAGGGGACTATTATTAGTACTATTAATAATATTTCACTTTGAAGATTAAGATTCTAACATTCAAATATAGTATTTTATTTTTTAATTGATTTATTCGGTAGGAAAAGAATTAATGGTGTAGCAGTATTTCTATGCTAATTCACCAAGTATCTACAATTCTATTATCACTTTTAGCCCGTGCCAAAAATTATTTACATCAGGTAGCCCAAAAAGTGTATAAAATTTGTATAATTTTTTTTGTGTATATATATATATATATATATATATATATATATATATATATATATATATATGTTCTGTATGTTATATATATATATATATATATATATGTTCTGTATGTTATATGCAAAAACTATACATTATACACTTTTTTGGCTACCAAATATAAATAGTTTTTGCCGCGGGCTAAAAGTGATAATACCCAAATTTAAAATCTTGAATTCGCCTTTGACTTTACTATCTTCCGTTATTTCTTTTTTTAGATAACAAAAGAAGGTGATCCAGTTCAAAGAATGTTATTTATAGTAAGAGGTCATCTCCAAAGTAGCCAATTATTGCGAGATGGTGTCAAAAGTTGTTGCATGTTAGGCCCCGGCAACTTCAGCGGAGATGAACTTCTGTCATGGTGCCTCCGGCGGCCTTTTGTAGAGCGGCTACCACCGTCGTCGTCGACGCTGGTGACGCTCGAGACCACCGAAGCCTTCGGCCTCGAGGCCGACGACGTCAAGTATGTCACACAACATTTCAGGTAGGTTGTATTTGAGTTATGCATTCAATTGAACCTAATATTCTTTACACAAAACATAAACGTATATGTTAATAAGCATAAATTTTAACATATATGGTGTGTTTGGTATAAAGGAAAACATTTTCCTGAAAATATTTTCCCAATTTTCCCATGTTTGGTTGGCTTAAATGTTTTGGAAAATATTTTCCTTATGAACTCATTTTCCTCCAATTGGAGGAAAATGTTTTCCTTATCAAGAGAAGGGAAAACATTTTCCAAAACTCCTTCTCAACCTTCCACCCTCGCCAACCCACCCACCAACTCTCTCCAAAAAAAGGTTTTTTTTTTTTTTTTCCTCAAATTTCAGTTTTTCCGTTACCACCCACCCTACTACCCCTCCACCCCACCCCACCCCCCACCCCCTCCCGCCAAAAAAATATTTTGTTTTACCTTAATTTTTTTTTTGCAATTTCAAATTTTTATTTTTTCGTT